TGCTTCTTAGATTGAGAAGTCGGGGGGAAAACAGAAGGCGGCAATGGCAAATCATTTCTCTAACACTATAAAGAAAGTATACCTACTTTTTCAGTTCAGTAAGTGCATGAGTGTAAATGAAACAGTAGCAAATACAGTGCATTCGGAAAGTATTCAGACCCCCTTCACTTTTTTCAATTTTGTTATGTTGCAGCCTGATACAATCGTTCAAATTCTTCCATTTGAGAATTATGGAGGCCACTGTGGTCTTGAAAACCTTCAGTGCAGCAGAATTTTTTTTCTAGCCTTCCCCAGATCTGTGCCTTGCAATAAGCCTCTCTCTGAGCTTTGCAGGCAGTTCCTTTGACCTCATGACTTTTGCTCTGGTACAGTATGCATTGTCAGCTGTGAGGCCTTCTATAGAGAGGTGTGCGTCTTTCCAAATCACATCCAATCAATTTAATTTACCACACATGGACTCCAATCAAGGTGTAGAAACAGCTCAGCAAGGATCAAGAGAAATGGAAGGCACCTGAGCTAAATTTCAAGTGTTGTTGCAAAGGGTCTGAATACTTATGCCAATGTGATATTTCAGTTTTTCCTTTTTAATAAATTTACAGACATTTCTAAAATACTGTTTTCACTTTGTCATTATGGGATACTGAGTGTAGATTAATGAGAAAAAAAATGAATTTGAACAATTGTAGCATCAGGCTGCAACATAACAAAATTTCAAGAGAAATGGAAGGCACCTGAGCTAAATTTCAAGTGTTGTTGCAAAGGGTCTGAATACTTATGCCAATGTGATATTTCAGTTTTTCCTTTTTAATAAATTTACAGACATTTCTAAAATACTGTTTTCACTTTGTCATTATGGGATACTGAGTGTAGATTAATGAGAAAAAAAATGAATTTGAACAATTGTAGCATCAGGCTGCAACATAACAAAATTGAAAAAAGTGGTCTGAATACTTTCCAAATGCACTGTATTTGAGGTTGATAAACAGTGTTTGCATATGGTCTTTTTATTGAGGGAAAACTGGCTTTATTTCAAATGCACTACTCAATTCTTGTGTCTTTTTTGCTCCTTATCAGAATATTCAGAAGCTGTTGGGTCTGGCTCCTTCCCGAGCTGCCACCAAACAGGCTGGAGGATTCCTTGGCCCCCCACCTCAAGCTGGGAAGTTCTCATGAAATAAGAGAAATAATTTCATCTCTTACCAATGAAAATATTTAAAAATATTCAGATTTTACAGAATAATTTCTAAAAATACTTGGATAGCTAAGGTATCTAGTAATGTGTGTTTTATAAATGAATTCATGTTGAATGAATATCTTTGGTTGGCTCTCAGTTTCCAGGACTGAGGGAAGGCTCTTTTATGAAGATCTTAAAGCCTGGAAAGGCTTGTAAGAATGCATATTGAACTTAAAGAGGGGCCAGGGATTCATATGAAGTTGGGTTTTTTTTTAAGACATGTATTTCCAGTGTTTCTTTTACTGATAAACAAAAAAGACTTTCCACTATTCTTAACAACTTAATTAGTCTTCCCTCTTTGCTACCATTTTTCAAATGTTAATTTGGTCCAACATTAACTAGGTTTCTTCAGAAATTTACAGGAAAGACCATACTCTGTTACTCAACATCTTGGTATTGAATATGGCTGCTCCATTAGGTTATGATGAAAAATTTGCTATGATAGACCTAATCTCCATTAATTATTCAAATTTTAATTTATAGAAGTGATGGACAACTTTTCCCCCAGAGCATACTATTTCTGTTGGTTTGTTTTTTGTTCCACAGTCTCAGTGAAACTGGCAAGGAGAAAAAGTAAGTGGAGCACTGTCATAAATGGAAATTTGGTGACATATTTCAATAAATATGTTTCACCCTTTGTTGCAAATTGGCAGCCTTTTTGATATTTCTGGACAGTTATATCTCCTTTATGTTCCCTTTTGAAAGCTAAATGTGCCCACCTCTTTTAGCCATTCCTCACTGAGCTTGGTTTCCAGAAACATCTTAGTATCTTTTCTGAAACCATTCCAGCTTCTGCATGTCTCTTATAGCATGATATCCAGAACTGGACACAGTAATCTTAAGCGTGTTCCATCCAGTGTTGAGTATAACTATTACCTTCTTTGAACTGGATACAATGCCTCTGCTAATATAGCCTAAGACTGTACTGGCTGCATCACACTACTTGTTCATCTGGCAGTTCACTAGGAAGGTGAGCATTTGCAGTTGTTGTTAATCTGCTTAGGTGAGTGTCATGTGCAAATTTTGTGAATGTTCCATTCTATTCTAGATTCATTTGTAAAGATATTGAAGAGCACTGGGCCCTACAAATCCCATTCAATAACTCCAGGTTAGTGTGGAGCTACTTATGGGTACCCCTTGGGTATGATTGTTCCACCAGTCGCAAATCCATTAGATCGCCATTTCCTCTGGCCCATATTTAATCATCTTGTGACAAAGACTATCAAACATTTTACTGTGATCAAGGTACACTACATCCACATTTGGTCTACCAAAGTAGTTATTCTGTCTTTAAAAAGATAAGATTAGCCTAATTCTGCTACTTTTTGACCTGTGCTGACTTCTAGTAATTATAGCATTCTTTTCTGATTGCTTGCAGACTGGCAACTTGACAATCTTTCCTAATAGCTTGCCTATTACAGATGTTAGATTGAATGATCTGTACTTAGGAGGTGCATGGAGGCTGCAGATTGTCCATTTTTGTCTCATAGCTTGTCCTTTATAGCTCTTTAAGCCAAATAAATTTCCCCCACTCACTCTAGTGACGTACAGTGGGGCAAAAAAGTATTTAGTCAGCCACCAATTGTGCAAGTTCTCCCACT